CCCCCCCCCGGTGCGGCTCGTGACCATCCGACACCTGCAGCCTGCGGAGCTTCTTCTCGTACAAGGTCCGGGTGGAGGCTAGCTTAAGTAAACGGCATAAATATGATTTATTCATAACCGAGATGAGTTCAGTTCAGTTTCTCACCGTCCCAGTGGTCGTTTATTTAAGTCGGTCAACAATTTTTTACATCGGGGACAAAGACAAGAGACAGACTGACTGTACGATTAGTTTCTTAACAGTTTAGCGTTACAGTGGACAGACGAGGACATTACACCTCAACAAGTGTTTTTTATAATGTTGTGTTAATTGGTTAATTTGTTAAAAAATATTAAATAAAACTGACTTCCTCTTCACTGTTCTAGTTAACACACAAACACACGCTACACGCCCCACCCTTTTACCCACAGAGCTGTGCCACATGCAGTAAAGTAACAAATAACATTACCTTCCAGTTCATTACATACTAAATCCCAACTAAAAAAAAAACAAAAAATAACAGCAACTCTGCTGTTAACACCAGGAGACACGTAGAACTGAGTATTGAGTTCACACTGACCGACGATGGGTCCGGCTGTAACCCCGTGTTTGAGCAGTTCGGCCTTGAGGTCACGGTCCGTCAGGGAACTTGGATCAGGTACTTCTGAGGCTTCTGGATTCGTGCCGTCGCGCTTAAAAAAAAACAACAAAAAGACAGAATTTAATAAATGCTGATTGAGATGTGGAAGTAGCAGGAATTTGAATCGCAGCACATTCCAGGTTTAGGATGGAGAGCAGTAAAAACTGTTTAATCTTCAAACGTCAACGTAAATGTTTCTTTATTCACACTATTCACTAGTGAAGCAACAACAGAATTACAAACACAGAACGAGAAGAATATCTGTGGTAAAATAAAAATTGTAAATAAATTGTAATACCTAATTTGAGCAGCACGAGTTGTCTTTACTTACTGCTACTACTAATAATAATAGATCTGTACCAGTGTTTTTTGGTTTGTTTGTTTTCCTTTCACTTGTTATTCTTATCAACCTCAGCTCTGATCAGTGAAGCTGAACAGTTCTCCAGTCCTGCATGGTTCCATTCAATGAAGAGGCAACATTTAAGCTTAAAAAAAATAAAATAAAAAAATTCAAAGTTCACTCTTCACACTGCGTCGTAGAAGTGAAATGTAAACATACTGCCACGACAACATTTCAGAGTAATGTGCACCCACACTGTGTTTATTCCAAAGTGTGTGTTGTAGACATGACCTGTTGTCATAAGTATGTATGATGTTGTATGTACAATATGCAGGATTGTTTTTCACACCGGTGTTTATCCATCCATCTACACCTGCTTATCCATTACTGGGTCACGTTTTTAATTCTCGGAAAAAGAATAAGACGACGACATTTTTTTACTTAGAAGAAAGTCATGTGGGGCCAAATGACACCAAGGTAATCAGGTGGGACAAAATCTGGTAAAAACAAAATGACCATGATGAGGGCGAGCGCTGATGGAATAAGGAATGAGACGCCAGCAGCAGTGAACGGTGATTTAATTATGAAAAAGCGTGACCTAGAAAAACACGCGAGGTAGGACAGGTATACGGAACCATTTTAGTTGGTAACTTCCAGTGGACTCACCACCCACAGGAGGGGGGTGGGGGGGGTTAGTGCGGTGCATTGTGATTTGGGTGGCGGTCATGGAGACTGCACCCCCCCCCCACGACCCGGTAACATTACATCGACGTCATGTTCTCACACTTGCCTGAACTCTTGAGTGACTCACGTGTTCATTTTCCACCAAATCCTCTGCCTCCTCCTCCTCCTCCTTCTCACTGGAGAATTCCACTTCTTTTCTCTGTTTGATGTGTCGCTGGTACAACTCCACATAGACCACTTTTCTGCTCTTGGTAGGCGGCAGCTTGACATTGTGGAAAACCAGGTGTGAGATGAGTCTGGATTTGGACAAAAGAGCAGGATCCTCCTCAAAGGCAGGCATGTCACACAAAAAAACAACAGAAGTGTTAATATATATATATTTTTAAAAAAATATATATGTAGAAAAAGAAAAGAAAAAGAATGTCAGGGAAGCTGACGTGAGCTCCTCACAGAAGCCCCTGGATTTGAACTGGGCTGGGAGTGTGCACTGAAGTGACGCAGCTGCAACAAATGACCTGATTGACAGCCACTGCTTCACAGCAGGGCACTTGTAAAATCACTACAAAAAAAAGCTGATCAAAGATGACCAGTTTAAATATGTATTTAAAACTCAGCTATTTTATTTTATATTTATTTTTTAAGAAATCAGATGCTCCTTCAAGAACACAATTCTTGAAGAAATAGATACAAAAAAAGTATTATTTTGGACCTGTCTAACTGATTTATCTACTTTTTAGAAAATAAACTTGGTTCTCCTACAGAAACATTGTGACGATTTGTCGTCAACAGAAGACAAAGGAAGAGGTCACCAGAGTTCACCAAAAATACTTGTTACAGAGAATTGTTTATATATATATATATATATATATATATATTTCAATTCTCAAATCAAAATATAATTTTTTAGGTCTCCCTTGGATTTCCTGCCTGCCAGAACTACCTGGATCAACGTGTAAATACAGATCAGAGTCTGGAGATTTTCCACGACCAAAACCAAGTGTCTTTGTCACTGCTGTCAAACGCTGGTTGCTAAAAGTTCATTTAGAAAACACCTAGCCTCCACAAACTGGTAAAACACTGACTCAGTCGTAATGGACTATAAACAATCACAGCCGTCACCACAGCATCACATAATTGTACAGGACCGACCAGTCCTTCGTATGAAGCCAAACCTTTCTCTTAATCCTGACAGACAAAGCCCTTAGAAATCGATGTATAAATCGCTGTATTTTAAATGGCCCTTGAACTCTCTTTGAACTGCCTCTTCTGCGTATCTGTGTATCATAGTTTATTCAGCGCTCTTTGTTTCTTTGCGGTCACACCACAAATAACGACGTTTGAAGAATGCAGTTTAGCTGCAGTTTGGGAACGTGAGCTTCACCGAGCCCTG